GACTGTCGTTGTGACGATGTGAGTGTGTGTATGGAAATAAATATTTTCAGACAGAAATTGCTGATTCAGCATTACACTTGCCACGTGTTCCACATGATATGGTCGTTTACTTGCAATTTTGGGCCTAAACCTATATATATAGCTGGGCCTGTATCTGTTAGTATTAAGTATTAACGAAGCTTCCAAGGGAATTTTCAGAAGGGTAAATCCGTAATTATATAGAAATCGTGGCTCTATGGCTTTTGAAATTCCAAAATCTTAAAACCTTTTTAGTTTCCCTCTCCTTAAAGAGGCGTAAAGTTCTCACCTTTAACTCTAGGGTTAATCAAAAATCTTCTGTCTCTCAAATCTCTTGCTTTCTTCTCTAGATTCATCAAACCCAATCTCTCAATTTCTAATTTAATCCCTAAAAGATTCAACCTTTGTTGTGTGTGTGGGTCAATCGAATCTCTACTTGTTTCTACCGATTATCCAAATTTCTGGGTTTGGGTCAATCGATTCTCTACTCGTTTCTACCAATTATCCAATTTTCTGGGTTTATAACGGTTGAAATCGTTTTGGGTCAATCGAATCTCAACTTGATTCTTCCGATTTTCCAATTTTCTGGGTTTTGTAAGGGTTGGAATTGTATTGGTTTAAATCGAGGATATACGAGATGGAGAATAATTTGACTTGTGGAGTAATCAAGAAGATAATTGATGGAGAAGTGGAGAGCGAAGCAGACATGATTCCGGTTATGCAAGTGACGGAAATGAAATTGGTTATGGCTCAGAGGTATAGAGTAATGTTATCAGATGGGATTTACTTGCATCAAGGAATGCTCGGTACTAATCAGAACGAACTTGTTAAAGAAAGAATTTGTCGAGTTGGTTCCATTGTTCGACTCACTCGTTTCGTTTGTAGTAAGATCCAAGAAAAAAGGTTTGTTCTCTTTTGCTTTTGCTTATTTGGTTGAGTAGTAACAATGGACTTTGACATTAGTTGCTTCATTTTAGAGAGTACATAATCAAAATCAACTTTAGTTGCTTCATTTTTTGGTGAATGATTAAGAACTATTTAACATTAGTTGCTTCATTTTTTGAGCAAAGTTTTCGTTCTTTTCTTTTCGATGCCAGCATTGTTATCATTGCGGAAATGGAGGTGATTACAACGGATTGTGAGATAATTGCAAGTCCTGTAGCACTCAGAGTAAAGCCTAAGGATCAGTCTGGAGCAAGTTCTGGTAATAATACAAACACAACTGGTATTGAGAATCATGGTAAGAGTGAATTGACTGGTGGTCGTCAAGTTAACAATGCTGAGATAGGGAGAAGTAATCCACCAGTGACTATTTCACCTCAAGTTGGTCAACAAAGACAAGTGTTTGGTAATGGTTCTGGTATCCTTCCTGGATCAACACCTTCGACTCGGGCATACGGTAATCCATCTGCAGGTCATGAAGTCCCTTGGTCGGATCATGCTCGTGAACCTCCAACCACTTATCTTCGTCCGCATCAGCCGCAACCATCGATGTTTGCAAACAGAGGACCAGTGGCGAGGAATGAGGCTCCTCCTAGGATAATTCCGATTAATGCTCTTAGCCCGTATTCGGGTAGGTGGACTATTAAGGCCAGGGTGACGAGTAAAGGGGAACTTAGGCACTACAACAATCAGCGTGGAGACGGGAAAGTGTTCAACTTTGATCTTCTTGATGCTGATGGTGGAGAAATACGTGTTACTTGTTTTAACGCTGTGGCTGATCAATTCTTTGACCAGATTGTTGTTGGTAATCTTTATCTGCTTTCGAGGGGAAGTTTGCGGCCTGCTCAGAAGAATTTTAATCATTTACCAAATGAGTACGAAATCATGCTGGATAATGCATCAACGATACAACAATGCCACGAGGAGGATGCTACCATTCCGCGCCATCAGTTCAATTTCCGTTCTATAGGTGATATTGAAAGCATGGATACTAATAGCATCATTGATGTAATTGGTATTGTGTCATCTATCAGTCCTACCGGATCAATAACGAAGAAAAACGGAACTGAGACACATAAAAGATCACTGCAGTTGAAAGATATGTCAGGTCGAAGTGTCGAGGTAACAATGTGGGGTAATTTCTGCGATGCAGAAGGACAGAGGCTGCAGAGTCTCTATGATTCTGGTGGGTTTCCGATTCTTGCTGTTAAGGCAGGCAGGATCAGTGAGTTTAACGGGAAGGCAGTAAGCACGATTGGATCAAGTCAACTGTTCGTTGAGCCAGATTTCGTTGAAGCTCAGAATCTGAAGGAATGGTTTGAGAGAGAAGGAAGAAGTGCCCCTTGTATCTCCATATCTAGGGAGTTTTCCGGTGTTAGCAGAGTCGATGTTCGTAAAACAATTTCTCAGATTAAGGAAGAGAAACTAGGGACTTCAGAGAAACCGGACTGGATTACAGTTAGTGCCACCATTATATACATGAAGGTTGACAACTTCTGTTACACAGCTTGTCCTAATATGAATGGTGATCGTCCATGTAGCAAAAAAGTCACTGACAATGGAGATGGTACATGGCGATGCGAAAAGTGTGATAAATGTGTAGATGAATGTGAC